ACCCCGGGCTGGACTCCGCTTCGTCCACGGTGAAAGCTGATCCGGCGATCCACAGCACGAAGTTGATGTATTCCCTCAGTGACCAGCACGGATCAGCTCCAGGCATGACGAAGCGGATATCGTCCTCTCTCTTTTGGACAAACAAAGTAGTTTCGCTTTCACAACGAAACACAGTGTCACACACGGCGGCCTTGAGTGAGCAGAGGCCTGCGGGCTAGAGAGGAACGGCCGGAGGGCTAGAGTGAGGAACGGCCGGCGGATTTGACGAAGGAGCGGCAGGTGGGCTTGCGGCAACCACATGTGACGACCCCGGGCTGGACTCCGCTTCGTCCACGGTGAAAGCCGATCCAGCGATCCACAGCGCGAATTGATGTATTTCATTATCAACCAGCACGGATCAGCTCCAGGCATGACGAAGCAGATATCGTCCTCTTTTGGAAGGCCAAACAAAGTAGTTTAAAGAGAAAGGAAAAATTGAAATCGCATCAACATCTTATCAACATCTGAGATTGACAGTTGATAATAAACAATGGTTCAGTTTATTTTCTTTTTAGACATATGTAGATGTATTTAGAGAGAGAGCAAGGTACAGTTCCTCTATATATTTGAAAAAAAGTCCATTATCCATTGACAAGGATGGCAGTACATGTTATAACTGGCACACTAGTCATGAAGGCAACTGGTAGCTAAATGTCAACATAAATCTATCTGTCACAAATTTTCTCCTGTTACTTAATTTAACTCTTTCTCACTGTTTTTCCTTTTTCTTCTGCAGGTAGCCACTCTGCAGCAGTCTGTAACATTGATGCAGAAGGACAAAGACTATTTAAACAGGCAGAACATGGAGCTTAATGTGCGCTGCGCTCATCAAGAAGACCGTCTGGACAGAATGCAGACCCAGCTTGAAGACACAAAGAAAGCCAGGGAAGATGCCTATGAGAAATATGTTGCTTCTAGGTATGTGTGATAAATAATAAGGATGGTGCTTTCTTTTTACTTTTTCCAGCTGTTAAGTTTAATGTTCAATTTAATGAGCAATACGGCATTGGTCTATATTAAGAAGTTTGCATGATATAAATAAATTAGGGGTGCTCCGATCCGGATTTTTGAGGCCGATCGCCGATCACAGAAAGCAGTATCTGCCGATACCGGTCACCGATACCGATCTTTTTAAAGCCTTCTTTTTATAATTTATAACTATTTATAGCAGGGGTGGCGAACGTCGGCCCTGCAGAGTTTTGCTTCAACCCTAATCAAACACACCTGAACAAGCTAATCAAGGTCTGAACAGTTACTAGGAAGCTACAGGCAGGTGAGTTTTAATTAGGGTTAGAGTTGAACTCTGCAGGGCTGCGGCTCTCCAGGACCGGAGTTCGCCACCCCTGATTTATAGTGATACTCCAATCAGGATTATTAGACATTTATTCAGGCCTGAATTTAATTTTTGAAAATGGGGGGAATTCTCCTGTTAGGTGTCTCTTGTGAGAGGAGAAGCAGCTTTCACACAGGAGTCCGCTACTGATGTTTACCACAAACACAATATCCATTATTTTGATTTAAAATCCAAACATTGTCACTGAAAATGCTTTTTCAGCATACTGTTACTTTAATTCAGCGCTTGCAAGGGTAGCAAACATAGACTTGGTGCGGAAACCATCTCTGCTCTGCTGCAGACGCACCGCTACTGAACGCACTGCCGGACCGCAACTGTGTGCAGTGTGAACGCTTTAATCCGTTAACATGAGCGCGGAAAAAAATAAATCCGATCTTCAATTCCCGCCCTATATTTAAATTTAACGGAGTTCACGTCAACGAAATCAAAAGATAAGCGCTGCATTTTATTAATTATCAGCTCATTTCAAGATCAAAGACCGCAATAGGAGAGCGCGCGGCATCAGCGCTGGAAAGATACGTTTGTCTTAGCCTACTAATTTTAATGAAGATGATTGTGTGTTGAGTGACCGTCTGCGTCTTACTTTGTTTCATTCGCGGCAGTTTGAGCGTATTTTTTTTTGTATAGCTGTTCACACTGTTGTTTTAAATGTGGCCAATATAAGATTTCCAGTGTGAACAGATCATGGTTTTGAACTGACCCGCATGCGCAAAAGAACGATACGAACAGGGTTTCCAGATTTTCACAACAAAATCCACCCAATTTTTTCTCAAAACTAATCCAAAACGAATGCGGCCCAGACCACCTCCTGAAGTGGTTTGAGCGATCTGTCTCCAATGCAATGCGTTTCGGAGACCATTTACACCTGGTCTTTTCACGATCGGATCAGATCAGACAAAACGCATTAAGTGACCAGATGTAAACAGCCCCTAGGCTACGTTCACACTGCGAGCCTTAGTGCTCAATTCCGATTTTTTTCTCAGATCTGATTTTTTTTTGTATAGCTGTTCACACTGTTGTTTTAAATGTGGCCAATATAAGATTTCCAGTGTGAACAGATCATGGTTTTGAACTGACCCGCATGCGCAAAAGAACGATACGAACAGGGTTTCCAGATTTTCACAACAAAATCCGCCCAATTCTTTCTCAAAACTAGCCCGATCATGTTCAGGAAGGTAAACATCGCGTTAGTGTGGTCGTGTCAACCCACGAAGTTGAGAAAAATCCCACGGCAACAGAGGAAAAAGTAGCCCCAATTCCGCGGGGAAAATATTGATTTGGCAACACTTGCACAGCGCGCCGTCATACGGAAGTAAACACGGAGGATATAAAGTAAGCGATTATGCGTTTATTTATAGTGTGATCTGCTGCAGAAGCCAGCGAAATTATGCACTGGCAATATGAAAAAATAAAGACAAGGATGTGACAAAAGAAGGCAGGTTATTGACCGCAGTAAAGATAGTTTGCGGTTTGATATTCAGATTTATTTTGGCTATAAATACGCAGCGCGCTGTCATAGACATGCAAATAATACCGAATATCATTCTCCATGATTTGTGAATTCAGGTGACGCTGTCCTCCTGGCCGAAATCAGGTTTTTTTTCGTTGCGACTCTTAATTTTATAATGCCTATAGCTCCAAAAGTTGGACACTTAGAGGAATGAAACCGGTGTCATATTCACCAGCTTGATCTGTGAATTTTTTCACAGCAAAGCTCTTGTCCGTAAACCCCTTGGTAATGTTGTTTTAAATGTGGCCAATATAAGATTTCCAGTGTGAACAGATCATGGTTTTGAACTGACCCGCATGCGCAAAAGAACGATACGAACAGGGTTTCCAGATTTTCACAACAAAATCCGCCCAATTCTTTCTCAAAACTAGCCCGATCATGTTCAGGAAGGTAAACATCGCGTTAGTGTGGTCGTGTCAACCCACGAAGTTGAGAAAAATCCCACGGCAACAGAGGAAAAAGTAGCCCCAATTCCGCGGGGAAAATATTGATTTGGCAACACTTGCACAGCGCGCCGTCATACGGAAGTAAACACGGAGGATATAAAGTAAGCGATTATGCGTTTATTTATAGTGTGATCTGCTGCAGAAGCCAGCGAAATTATGCACTGGCAATATGAAAAAATAAAGACAAGGATGTGACAAAAGAAGGCAGGTTATTGACCGCAGTAAAGATAGTTTGCGGTTTGATATTCAGATTTATTTTGGCTATAAATACGCAGCGCGCTGTCATAGACATGCAAATAATACCGAATATCATTCTCCATGATTTGTGAATTCAGGTGACGCTGTCCTCCTGGCCGAAATCAGGTTCCCTTTCATGGGAACTTCGAACTGCGTCCTCTAGGGGTCGCTATGGGGAACGGTCGAGCTCGCTCGATTTGTACTTTCACAATCGCATTTTATCGCGTGGCAGTGTTTATCTTTGCTCTGCCCCCCCCCCGTTTTTTGTAGCCTATAATCATGTCATTCGGTACTGTTCCTGTGAATAACGGTTTCCAAGTCATTAGGTAAATGAACACATACACGTATACAATTGTACACTTTGTTTGACAATAAAGTTTTGGTTGTTGTAACTTTCCTTGATTAATTGGCTTCAATATTCTGATTTGCAAAAGTTTCACAGTGCAGTGTTGGTCAGTTAACATTTCCCTGATTCATTTACATCACTATTTTGATTTGTGAAAACGTTCATAGCGCAGTTATGGTCAGATAACGGTTCAGACAGTAACATCACTATTCTGATCTGTGAAAACTTTCACAGTTCAGTTTGGGTCAGCTGACCCTTCCCTGAGTCACTAAAATCACTATTCTGATCTGTGAAAACTTTCACAGTTCAATACAGGTCAGCTGACCCTTCCCTGGGTCACTAACATCACTATTCTGATCTGTGAAAACTTTCAAAGGTAAGTACGAGTCAGCTGACCCTTCCCTGGGTCATGTACATCACTATTCTGATCTGTGAAAACTTTCAAAGGTAAGTACGGGTCAGCTGAACCTTCCCTGGGTCATGTACATCACTATTCTGATCTGTGAAAACTTTCACAGTTCAGTTTGGGTCAGCTGACCCTTCCCTGAGTCACTAACATCACTATTCTGATCTGTGAAAACTTTCAAAGGTAAGTATGGGTCGGCTGACCCTTCCTTGAGTCATGTACATCACTATTCTGATCTGTGAAAAATTTCAGAGGTAAATACGAGTCAGCTGACCCTTCCCTGGGTCATGTACATCACTATTCTGATCTGTGAAAACTTTCAAAGGTAAGTACGAGTCAGCTGACCCTTCCCTGGGTCATGTACATCACTATTCTGATCTGTGAAAACTTTCAAAGGCAAGGCAAGGCAAGGCAAGTTTATTTGTATAGCACATTTCATACACAATGGTAATGTTTTCACAGATCAGCATAGTTAAGTTAAGGGCTCAGGGAAGGGTTAAATGACAAAAACTATACTGTGAAACCTTTAGCAAAACAGAAAATAGAAGCCAAGGACTCATAAAAGGTAAGGTAAAACAACCAAACCTTTATATTGTGAAAGATTACACAAATCACAATAGTCTATTAGAGCCGTGTATGATTTATCTAATGGCTTGGAAAACCATTATTCACTGGAACAGCAACGTATGACATTATGACAGAAGAAAAAAAGAGCAGTGCAAAGAGAAACAAAGACACGCGATAAACTGCGTTTGGGAAAGTTTTCACAAATCGAGTTTGACCTAAAAACAATGTTTTTGTATTCCAGCAGTCTGCGTGTTTATTGGTAATAGACGTTAAACATGAAGAACGCCTATTTTTCACATTCCTTATAGCGGACTTACCAAGGGGTTTACGTACAAGAGCTTAACTGTGAAAAAATACACAGATCAAGCTGGTGAATATGACACCGGTTTCATTCCTCTAAGTGTCCAACTTTTGGAGCTATAGGCATTATAAAATTAAGAGTCGCAACGAAAAAAAAACTGATTTCGGCCAGGAGGACAGCGTCACCTGAATTCACAAATCATGGAGAACGACACTCGGTTTTATTTTCATGTCTATGACAGCGCACTGTGTATTTATAGCCAAAAGAAATCTGAATATCAAACCGCAAACTATCTTTACTGCGGTAGAGTATTGAAACTTTTATGATACGAGCCCTCATTTTTTGCTTGTAGAGTTGTCACTGTAATACACATGAGTTCTGACACATCACACTTCCACTGATTACCTTTTGCTACTGTCTTGATAACTTGGGTATGTGTTTGAAGTGTCTCCCGTCACTGCGGAATTATGACGAATGTCGATCTAGAGTGACGTAAAAGCCGCATGAAATCCGACATGACCGTTCACACTGTGGTCGCATTGCAAAACATCTGACATGGATCGGATTTAGTACCACATATGGAAGTGGCACAAATCAGAATTGAAAAGATCAGAGTCCATGTGGTTTGTGCTGATCACACTGCTATGACAAAAACAGATCTGAGTCACATGTGAGCAAAAAAAAATCTGATTTGGGCCACATTTGCCTGCAGTGTGAACGTAGCCTTAGATACCGCCGATCAATCATCCCAACGTGATTATCGGCCGATAGTGATCGGAGCACCCTTAAAATAAATGGGCCAAATCTGGTGACAATATACTAGGATTTGGAGCAGAGACCCATTAATACTGTCAAATCTTGTTGTGAAGTCATTACAGTTTGACAGTTGTGCTGTTTGCATCCCTCCACCAGAGATCACTATAAGACAGAGTATGAAAACAAACTGCGTGATGAACTGGAGCACATTCGAACGAAGACCAGTCATGAAATCGAGAGCCTGCAGAGGGCATCTAAAGAGACGTATGAGAGAGAGAACAGGTGAGAGCATGCCTACATGTCTCTGACTGGACAGGGACAAATCCTTGAAAAAAATAACATAACTGTTTGCCATGGAAAACCTGGGTATGTAAGGAAGTTTTAGAATTGTGATTTCCAGTCCTGGAAGTCTCATTGGAAAATCTTGGAACATCATAGAAATTTCAATAAGAAATGTAAATATTTCTAATTATTCTTCTCTAAAATATTTCATTGGCTAGAAATAACTCCATAATGTTTAAGTCATTGTCATTTTTTCTTTTTTAATAATGATCCTGTAATAATAAATGACAAGAAATGTATATATAAAAAAATGGGGGAACTCTGTTTCTTGTGTTGGTCTTCTAAACATTGTTAGGAAAATTAAGAAAAATGCAACTAGATACTGGATACTTTATTGATTTCGTTTTTGCAAAACGTAATCATATTTTCTATGATATTTCATAATTTTGAGTCAGCATAGGGGTCGATCGCTGCACCCCTAGTGACCAAAGACAAAATAATCATAGCATTAAAAATTAATGAAAGTATAGTAGCTACAACTAAAGAATATCTGATTAAAATCTAACAACTCTGCATGCTTGCTTTATATTTACTCTTGCACTACCACAATGCCATTTTCTGTACACAGTATCAGAGCAACATTATACTTGTAAGTTGTTTTGAAAATTGGCACATGTCTCGTTTCATGTCGGCCTCCAAATTTTACACATTGTTTCTCCACTTTTGTGGGACTATAATTCCTTTGTAACTGGATTTATGCCATCTCTCTGCATCAAAATGACTTATTTGTGATATATCAGTGGAAGGATGGGGTTTGCTTGTTTGCTTGTTACAGGTAACAAATGAATGGTGAAATGAACAGTTAATGAATGATCATTCTTCATATTGTGTCAAGGCTTTAAAGCACACCTGTGCTACATAATATACAGTATTGTTTCAGGAAATGTGTTAATTACTCTTTCAGAAACCTTCGTGAAACCCGAGATAATGCTGTCATTGAGAAAGACAGAGCACTGAATGCAGAAAGAGATGCCCAAGCCAAATATGATCAACACTTAGACCAGTAAGTGCATACACACCTCTCACATATGCGTGACTATCTCTAGCTGTCTTTATATTCTGATTGACATTTACTCAATAAAAAGCACTATTGAGCAAATACATGTGCAGGAATTCTTGCCAAATCATCATTCAGTGGAAAGGAGCATGACAGCTGAATGTGTGTGAATCATAAAACTTTAATACACCAGTGAATAATGCGAAGATGCCGTACCTTCTTGGCGTTTTGAAATCAGAATGGTAACTTTGTAAATGTCTTTCAAAATTAGGACCAGGCATCGACATCTAATTCAACTGTTATGCATTCCAATATGATATCAAAGTATGCTACCATATAAAGTTTAAAAGTGTCAGTAAGATGTTTTTTTTTTTTTTTTTTAGAATTTAATACATTTATTCAGCAAGAATTGATCAGAAGTGACAGTAAAGACATTTGTAATGTTGCCAAAGATTTATGTCTTACAAATGCTTTTCTTTTAAATGTTCAAATTAATGAAGAATCCTAAAATAATTAGCCACTTTCCACAAAAATATTAAGCAGCACAACTGTTTTCGACTTGATGATAATTAATGTTTCTTGAGCAGCAAATCGGCATGTTAGACTGGTTTCTGAAGGATCCTGTGACACTGAAAACTGGAGTACTGACTGCTGAAAATTCAGCTTTGCATCACAGGAATAAATTACATCTTAATATATATTTGAATAGAAAAATAATACTTTTTGTAATAAACTGTAATAATATTTCGCACTATTTCAGTTTTTACGTTCAAGGGGTCATATGATGCGATTTCAATTTTTCCTTTCTCTTTGGCCTTGGTGACCAAAAGAGATTCTTTCAAAAGCAAACCAAAAATCAGACCCCAAACTTTTGAACAGTAGTGTAATTGGATCATTGTTATTGTTATTTTTTTTTTATTATAATAATATTGTTTAACTGTAATCAAATGACTTAACTTTTGCATTTATGAGCACACAGTAGAGATGAGCTGTTGCGTTAATGCTTTTTTAGCCTTTGCGTGCATTTGTAAATCTGTGAAAAGGACCTTTCTTTAGGGCTTTTTTTTATGTTTTGCTTGTTTTTTCTTGGAGTCAAACATTTCAGGCTTGACTGGATTCCTCCAAGGCCAAATCAAATAATCTTTGAGTGAACTGATGATAGACATGCCCATATATTGTCACTGTAAGTAAAAGTGGGTGTAGTCATGTTTTTTAGTGAGATGTCTATGTACGATAATCAACAACTTTAAAAGTTGCAGGGAGACATATTTTAACCTCTGTTACCGCCTCGAGAAAAAAGAAAGTGTTCTTGAACATTAGTTATTATTTAACTAAGAAATCAAAGCCAAGATTTTAAAATATGCTGATTGTTGTCCTCCTGGTTATGATAGCTATAATTATTTTTGGAGCCTGGGTTCTTAAGGAGGAATTTGTCGTACAGTATATGTTCCCACGGTATTAAAGCCTGACAGAGGTGCCGAACATGCCTTTGTTAGTCATTCCATTGTGACGAAATGCAGTTGAATCCTTGTGTCTACACTGTCAAGATCAGGACAGTATTGGTTCTGGACACTGGGCTGTGGTAGACGAATGTGAACAAATAGATAAGCTAAAACAAGGACATGTGGCTAGTTACGACATGAACAGAATTAAAGAAAATAATCATTGAGTTGTCAGAGCTCAGTGAAGACTCATTGACAGGCTAATTTAGCATTTGAGCTCTAGTTTGAGCTCTAGCAAGAAAACATGCTAAACTGGCTAGAAAAGAAAAAAGACGGGTATTTCCACTTTGGTACACTCTACTGGTGCATGTCTGCAGCCAAAACATAGACAGTTGGAAGCACAGGCTTGAAAATGTACATACTTGAAATGTAAACCTAGTGTAGGTGTAGCTACACTACCGTTAAAAAGTTTGGTCTCTGTAATATTTGGTAATGTTTTTGAAATAAGTCTGTTATGCTCATCAAGGCTGCATCTATTTGATCAAAACTACAGTAATGCAGTAATATTGTGAGATATCGTTTCTGTTTGAACTGTTTGAATTTGAAACTAAGCTAGTGTCCAGAACCTGCTATATTTTGAGGAACCCTGTAATATGCTGATTTTCTGCTTAAGAAATATTTCTTATTATTATCAGTGTTGAAAACAGTTACGATGCTTAATATTATTGTGGAAACCATGATACATAATATTCTTTTTTTGAAATATAAAGTTCAAAAGAACAGCATTTATTTGACATATAAATTTTTTTGGTAACCATGTGCAAGTCTTTGTCACTTACTTTTTTTCTTGGAAATGGGCACAGTTTGTCAAACATCTCTGGCAAATATCTTGTGGTTATTTAAATGATTTTTTCTTACTTTACTACCACTTTCTCTTTCTTTTTTGCTGCTACCTCTCTTTCCTCCTTTGCTGTTAGCTGTATTTTCTGTTTTGTTATCTCTACACTTTAAGATGCGTCTTTTTTTTTTTAAATGTGGTAGGTGATATGGGTGTCTAGAAGTGCAGGTTGTTGCCCCTCCTCTTTCTCCTGAGTGGTCAGCCCTTATTTGCCCATGTGAGAGGCTTACGGTGTCACTGAGCTCCAGCCACATGCCTAGCATTCCAGCAGATACTCTACACACAGTTGTTGGGCATACCCCACGTTTTTCAGCCCCGGGGAACGGATTGCTCACATTCACAGAGAAGCTCGATCGAGGGCAAAAACGACAGATGCTCCTTTACCCCGCTCTTGAGAGGTCGAGTCTACGGTCCGTGAACATGTTGTCCAGCGACTCTATTTTGGGTTTACAAATTTAAGTGGGGGAAGGGAGAATAGAAATGAATGTTGCATTGCATTGCGTCATGCCGAGAAACAGAATGAAGCAGAATAAAATTTTTGCAGTTGTGTCAAATGTTCTTGCAGGTCTGATTCCAAGATGACAAATGCCTATGTAGCAAAGTAAACGGCACAAACATAAATAGTGGTGCTTGACAGTTTGTGAATCCTTTCAAAATGTCTGTGTTTCTCCATAAATATAACCCAAAAGATCATCAAATTTTCACGCAAATCCTGAAAGTAGACAAAGAAAACCTAATCAAACAATAGAGACACAAAATTATACTTTGTCATTTATTTTTTCTGGAAAATGATCCACTATTACATATCTGTGAGTGGCAAAATCTCTAGGATTAGCAGCTAATTTGAAGGGAAATTAGAGTCCATCTGTTCAGAGGTGTTCTCAATCAAGGGAATGACTATCAGGTGTCAGTGTGTGCCCTGTTTTATTTAAAGAACGGGGATCTATCAAAGTTTGATCATGTTTGTGGAAGTGTGTCATGGCATGAACAAAGGAGTTCTCTGAGGACCTCAGAAAAAGTTGTTGCTGCTTATCAGGCTGGAAAAGGTTACAAAACCATCTCTAAAGGATTTGGAATCCACAAATTTACAATCAGAGAGATTGTGTACAAATGTAGGAAATTCACGACCATTGTTGCCTTCCAGAAGTGATAGTCCACAAGGTTGCAAAGGGCCCCGGGGTAACTTCTAAGCAACTAAAGGCCTTTCTCACATCGGCTAATGTTCATGAGTCCATTATCAGTAGAACACTGAACAACAATGGTGTGTATGGCAGAGTTGCAAATAGAAAGTCACTGCTCTTTAAAAAAAACATTGCTGACGGTCTTAAGATCATATGGACAAGCCAGAGGGCTATTGGAGAAAGGTTTAATGGACGGATGAGACCAAAATCGAAATTTTGGGTTTAAATGCGATGCGTTATGTTCGGAGAAAGGAAAACACTGCGTTCCAGCATAAGAACCTTATCTCATCTGTGAAACATGGTGCTGGTGGTGTCATGGTTTTACTGCATCTGGGCCAGGACGGCTTGCCATCATTGATGGAACAATGATTTCTGAATTATACCAGCAAGTTCTAAAGGAAAATGTCAGGACATCTGTCCAAGAACTGAATTTCAAGAGAAAGTGGGTCATGCAGCAAGACAACGACCCCAAGCACACAAGTCGTTCTACCAAAGAATGGTTAAAGAAGAACAAAGTTAATGTTTTGGAATGGCAAAAGTCAAAGGAGTCAAAGTCTAGAACTTAATCCAATTGAAATGTTGTGGAAGGACTTGTAGCAAGCAGTTCATAGGAGGAAACCCACCAATATTACAGAGTTGAAGTGGTTCAGTATGGAGGAATGGGCTAAAATTCCTACAAGCTGTTGTGCAGGACTGTTCAGAATTTACAAGAAATTTTAGCTGCAGTTATTGCTGCAAAAGGGGGTCACGACAGATATTGAAAGCAAAGATTCACATACTTTTGCCGCTCACAGATGTGTAACACTGGATCATTTTTCTCAATAAATGCATGACAAAGTATATAATTTTGGATCATTTGTTTGATTGGATTCTCGGTCTACTTTCAGGACTTGTGAAAATCTAATGATCTTTTGGGTCATATTTAAGTAGAAATATAGAAAGTTCTAAAGAGTTCACAAAGTTTCAAGCACCACTGTATATGTATCAGACAACCACTCCTTACAACATACTGTTCCAACAGCTTCCTCACCCTCCCTTTTGTCCCTGAATTTATGTAAATAAACAAGTTTAATATACTTTAAGCCAATAAATAGCTTAACAATATCCAGTCTTACTCCATAATGTATGATGGGAGTTGTCCAATTACGTACAATTTGTCACAATTATTACTATAGGTGTTGGTCACCACTGTGATGACACATCCTTTGTATTCTTCACAAAACTGCCTACATTTGGCTCGATGTTAGTGACAATGCACAAACAAAAAAAAAATCTTGACCTGCCAGTTTGGCCCCTCCGTAGGTGTGGTTACGGTTTCAACCAAAACCCCTGGAGCTCTCCGAAATGTTTTAATCTTTCAGAGACCTGGCTATAAATGTAGGAGGACACAAACAGATACTCAATCTGTTTGGGCATGTTGAGTTTTTTTTTTTTAAATAAAGCGGTGACTTTCTGCCCTAGGAAATATACTTGGCACGTTAGAGGCGGCCGCGTCTGAGCTTGGCATCACCCTAATTTAGCAATCGCTTAGCTTAGCCTAAGGTGAGCCACAGCGGAGATTATACATATTTCATGAGCCCCCCTCCCTCCCTCCCCATTTTGTTTAAATCACAATTTAAATGACAGTAAAGTGTTTTTAAAAAAATATACTGTTCTTTTGAACTGTCTATTTATTTCAGAATCCTGGAAAAAAGGTTCCACAAAAATATAAAGCAGCAAAACTCTTTTTGACATTGATAATAATAATAATAATAATAACATTGATAAATGATGTTCTTTTGAGACTTTTTTTTATTCATCAAGGAAAAATCTATTAAGCAGCACAACTGTGGTTGTATAACTGAATAACTTCAACTGTGATAATAATAAATGTTTCTTGAGCAGTAAATCAGTATATTAGAATGATTTCTGAAGGATCATGTGACCCTGAAGACTGGAGTAATGATGCTGAAAATACAGCTTTGCCATAACAGCTGGTTGTGTAAACTTTTTTTAATTAAATTGTTACATTTTTACTTTTTAGACTAACTTTGCATGGGAAAAGTTTGCAGAATCATTGAATCAACGATTCTGCAAACTTTTCCCATGCAAGGTTAGTCTTAAAAGTAAAAATTTTCACTGTTTTCATGATGGACAGTGTGCAGAATGAGTTAATGCAGATGCACTTGTATCTGTTTTTGTCCAGGTTCCGGCAGTTGCAGCTGAGTTCAGACAGCAGGGTGGCAGAACTGCTTAACCAGGTGAAGCTGAAAAAGTTTGAGTTGGAGCGTTCCCAGATGGTCCAGGAGGAGACGGCCAGGAACCTCAGCCTTTGTCAAATTGAGTGTGAGAAACATCAGAAAAAACTGGAGGCAAGGCACTATAAAATAGAATCTGTATGGCAAAGATAAACCTGAACAAAGTGATTTCCTTTAGCCTCATTGCATGTTGAATCCTGTTAATTGCTTAGTAGTTCAAGCTGTTAATTCCCTAAATGATTACTTGACCATTTTGTCATAATTTACAACAACTTCATGCCATTTCCAACCGGCATGACTTTGAATTTTCCAAGGAACACAAAAGCAGAATTATTGAAGTTACTGGCTTTTTCTTTTTACCATATAATGAAGTAAATGAGACTAGCTCCAAAATGATAGAAAACAACATAAAAGTACTTTTTCAAGTCGTATGGGCCATACAGGTTTTTCCAAGTCTTCTGAAGCTGTGCAATTGGGATGCGCAATATATAAGTTTTATATTGGTTATTGCATTAAGAAAAGTATTGGTATCAATGGATAATGGATATTAGATATACGTAATTCAACAATTTGTTAAAATTTTATGCTAAAATAAATCGCATAAAGGTAATCTTGTGATTTAACAAATTCTATTAAAACATCAATAATTTCATAACCCTGTTTATAATGTTAAGCATTTAAATCTCACCATGAATCTTTCATAAATGTACATTTATAATGGATATAACAGATATACATTTTTAGATACCTAAATTCGCTTAAAACAATTTAACTTTTTGGTGTTTCATTTTCAGTTTTAAGGGTTTTATTTTTGATTGTTTTAGTGTTTTACTTTTTAGTGTTTCAGACAAAATAGTGTAACATTTTAATATTATGAAAATCTTACATGACATTTTTGATACATTACATTAATATCAGCTTTTCATGTTGTACAAAATGTTAATACTGGTGCATACATACATATGATTTGCATGAGGAATTTTTTTGGTAATTTTGCTTTTTGTATCCCAATTGAAAGGCCAGTACATTCTTCAAAAATGTTCCTCCTCTGCTCCACTCTTTGGAATGGCGTGAGGATAAGTGATGATAGAATTGTTATTTTTGGGTGATCAGTTCATTAATCATTACCTTATGATTTCATTCTTCCAATAACAGGTATATAATTCTTATGAGCGTCACACTGAATCTCAAATCATTTAGACACCAGACAAAGGTTGAACCCATTGCTAGCCTCATAGAATAAGGACTGTACATATTTGTCATAATCATAAAACTTATTTGAACATGATGTTATGACGCCACCCTTGTTACTCAATTTCTGTTGTTATCTTTGTCCCTCTCTGAATCTACTTCTGCAGGTTCTAACAAAAGAGTTTTATGGGCTACAAACATCATCAGAGAAACGCATCACTGAATTGCAAGCCCAGAATTTTGAAAAGCAAGCACGACTGGAGACATACGAGCGATTGGAAAAGGAGCTGGATGATGTTACCATGCAGGCTGCAGAGAGTAAGACCAGAGACTGATTCAGTCATTGCAATTGAAGACCAAAGATCATCACATCAGCGAGGTTGCACACTGCAATTTAGGAGTCTGTTAGGCCAAGTATTCCTGAAATTCTTACCCGAGGGTCTTATTTCTGCATATATGATTCTGTAGATTTAAGGATGTCAAAGCTGTGGTAAAATTTGGGATTAGGAGTCTGTTTTATGACTACTCAGGAAACAGTTGTGCTGCAAAAAACACATGTGAGCAATGCAAAAATTGTTTACCTCTAAAATCAGTCCCATTATCAGGTCAAAATTTAAAGCATGTTAAATACACTGCATGTCTGTTTTTCTACAGTTTTGCATGTTCAGAATGCCATACTCAATCAGACCTGAAGACTGTTTGACAAAACGGCCCCAGGGCTTGTCCTTAAACAACCTTCTTCTAAACGCCAGTGAATATGCTGACACTGAACTGAGGTGATGCAAAAGGCTGGCCTAGCCAGGTTTTAAAATCCCTCCGGTTAACAACAGGTTTTTAACCTCATCAAGTTAATAACAGGTTTTTAACATCATCGAATCTGCATAGATCAGACATAAAAAAGAATGCCTAGTGCATGGAATGCAGGTTGATACTGGATGCAATCTTTTGAAAAGTACATTAAATGGCAGTTTGTACATACAATGACTTGAATACACATCATGAAAATAAAAATAAAAAATTCTTATTTGTTAGTTGACCCTTCTTTTTGTCCAGTTGGTTGTAAAAAAAACTTGCTCCTGAGTATCTAGGCCTCATTCTCTTTTTAATCTGTTTAAACACCACTTCAACATTTTTCACTCATATATAAACTTTCCTACACAGTATGTATTGTAAGAAGATAGAAAACTGTTTATAGTCCTATTAGTGCTCTCCCTTCTGGCCACGATACTAGCTGGGTGGTCTAGACATGCTTGCTCTTAAACATACTGTTTCTCCTTTTTTTGTAGTGGAAAATGAAGATGAGGCAGAGAGGGTGCTGTTTTCATATGGTTATGGTGCAAACATTCCAACAACTGCCAAGAGAAGACTGAAGCAAAGGTGAAGTCTGAGGAGGTCATTCGTCTTTGAAAACCAGAAGCTCATCTTTGTGTTTACTGACTGTTTTCATGTCTGCGTGACTCTAATCATAGGTTTCTGAATGTGTGTGTGTGTGTGTGTGTGTGTGTGTGTAGTGTTCACTTGGCTCGCAGGGTTCTGCAGCTGGAGAAACAGAACACACTGCTTAGGAGAGACCTGGAAAGACAAACGGCGCACAGCAGTCAGATCTCTGAAGAGGTGCTGATTTTCACTCTTTTGACACGAATGCAGAAACACATTTTCTAAATGAACGATTTCAAATCGAAAACTAATATTATCTGATTATGTAATCCGTATGAAAATAAAGTGAGGTACATTCTTTCCTGTATCTGAAAGCTTGAAGTGTCTACTTTTAAATGAACGAATTCAAATCGAAAACGAATATTATCTGATTATGTAATCCGTATAAAACTAATGCGAGGTACAGTCTTTCCCGTATATGAGCTCATTATATGCAGTCACCTGCACACAAACGCCCTCACCTAGATACAAAAAAATAGATTAAAAAAAATCAAGATTCATATAATTTTCATCATTTTTGAAAGAAGACCTGCTATGAGGAATAAACCCGAATTTACCTCAGAAGAACAGCGCGATCTTAAACTGAACTCAGAAAGTACTACAGACTGTAACAGAAACATTCAAGGATCAGCTTTCATTTAAAATAGTGCTTTGGAAAGTCCAACTTAATGCTTTTAATGTAACAAAAAAACACTCCAAGCAACAAAAGGTAGCCTAATTAAAAAACACAGCAAGAAATGGATAAAAGAATATTTCATTGACTGTCCATTGGAGAACATTTAGCTCAATCTCTTTACTTACAGGATTACTACTGCATATGCTAAATACCAACTTGAATGCTTATGCAAACAGTTATTTCATTTTTAATAACTGTACATATGTGAAATTGACCAAATTGTAGCCAATTAACCAAATTGTGAAAGAATATCTTTTTCTGATTAAAACACAAATTTAATCTTTTTGTGGTTTAATATTGTAAAAGCATAAAACATTGAAACCTCAAAATCAGAAAATGTATTCATTTTTAACTCTGAAAATGCTAAAATATTAAATTTTCTATACTAAATAATAATGTCTTTTTAAAATGTATAGAATCCAATCCTTGCACTTTTGAGCTGTTAGTCATAATTTAGAACACATAATTGGTTTCAGTAGGTGATTTAAAGCACATCAGCTGCTTATAACCAAGATAGAATATAGCCCGTGATAAAGGAAGTGCTTAGTGAGTAGTCGTTAATGTATATTACTTGTGATAACATGCATAGTATTCACTGGAACACAAGTTAACATCAGGCTCACTGTGATAGCAGAATAATTTGTCTTGTCTTGGTTTCAGACTAACCCAAGCCCATAGATTAGATTGTATTGTCAACAATGATTATCTTTCTTAATTGTTGTTCAGTCCAAGTTCAGTCTACAATCAAAACATAGCAGCATGCTTATAAAATGCAACCAAGATGTCCCATGCTTAAAACTGCACTATTTACAATGGAAAACACTATCGGAAGAACCTTCAGTAGACCTTCATCTTCACCGATTATTAGATCATTATTATTAGATGCGGTGATCCATAATATAATTTCTTAATTTTTATTTGTTTATTTGCATCTGTACATTTAACACTTTGCCCGTTAACATTTATACAACTACAACGTAAAAGAAATTAAATCACACGAACTGAAAAATACACAACAAAAAGAGAGCAATAGCATAGCTGCTGTATGGCTATTATACCGTAAAGTAAATAATATATTTATTTAGAGGGAAAATTGATCTGATCCTGTGGCATGTTCTTGATATACCCCAAAAAAGGACTTTGCGTTTTAGAGAGATACAGCTGTTAAATTATGAAATTCACATTCTGAATAGTATGACAGTGTCTTGTTCCCATTTTATTACAATACATTTTTTGGCAGGGCCGTGCACAGGGGGGTGGCCCGGTGGCTAGAGCCACTGCCCCTTTGCCCTCATCGGCTGAGGTGCCCCTCTCATCAATCCACCCCCCTCACCCCAGCTCAAAGCGTTCGGTTATCGCTCCGCTAAAGATCTGCTGATTACGCTAATCCGCTCCGTGTTTTCCCGCCGCTCCGCAGCATCACTCACAATCTGTGTG